ATTCTTTTATGAGCTCTTTCCTGGAAGCCCCCTCATATCTTCAGATGTCAGAAGTCAGGATAACATGCAAAGTTATAAAACAAAATCAGAAGAAAAATAAGTTAACATTAAACCTTGGTGTACAGTGTACTTCTAAAATTGTTGATACTACTTTGATAAATTTTTCATAGAATGTTAATAAAAATAATTCAAAATCATTCCGAAAAGAAGAAAGCAACCTAGCTATTGGTAAACTTAGTAGTATTACTTTCAGCCCCAAATAGCCCATGGGAGAAGTTACCAAGGGTGCAGTTTTCTTTCTTTTAGTGAAACTGGAAGAAACTTTTTGGTGTAATTACACTAACTTCTAGTTTATTCTGGAACCAGAAATAGGATTCTAAGCATAGTCTAAGATTTAAGAATGGTGTAACTAGACTAACTTCCAGCCATTCTGGAACTAGAAATGTAAAGATGAGAATAACTCATCTAAGAATCATCATTTTGTTGTCTACATGAAAATTTTTGCATCAAGGAGCTTTGCTTCTTAACAGTGATAAAAATCTCATTGGATGTGCCACAAATATATAAAAAGTTAAGTTTCACGTCATGATATTATGGCAAGAGTTACAGTATATTCTGTGGACAGCAGGTATGTTCTTTTATGTCTATGATGTACACAGAATATACTTTGACTAATCAAGGCTGCAAGTATGGGAAAACACAGTAGACAGTTTAGAAAACCAAGAAGAGTTTAGTGTCCAGGTTGCACATGTCTAGTTCCAATTTTCTTTTCTTTTTTTAACCAGGAAGTTAAATTTTTATTTGTTGGGTACAAGTGAGGTAGCACAGGGCTACCAAGGCCTTCATGAATGCAGGGCCCGCCACTTGTCCAAGGGGCCACGGTTAGGGATGTATTTGACTCCACAGCCATCTGGGATGAGGCCACCATATCCTCAAACTCATCAGCATTAAACTTGGTGAAGCCCCACTTCTTGGAGATGTGGATCTTCTGGCACCCAGGGAACTTGAACTTGGCTCTGCGTAAGGCCTCAATCACATGCTCCTTGTTTTGAAGCTTGGTGCGGATGGACATGATAACCTGGCCAATGTGGACTCTAGCCACCGTGCCTTGAGGTTTCCCAAAAGCACCTCGCATCCCAGTTTGGAGCCTAGTTTAGGGAGAGCAGAAATTAGCCAGGCCAGAGGCATTGAAAAGCAGCAAAAGGTTGTCTCCAAGGTCCCTTAGGGCAGCCTATACATACCAATAGGCTGCATACACTACCGAGGAGGCTTGCTGTTTGCAGCCATTGTCTAGTTCCAATTTTCAATAGAGGAAGACATTATTTCAAGAAATCAGACTTTAGCACATGAGAAGTCAAAAAGTATTGCTATGGGGAGGTGCTACTAAAAATGGGTCCTCACATGATTTGGCATTTTCAATGTTAAGTGAACATCTTGGTTTCAGCAAGCTTCCAGATCTACGTGTGCCAACAGTTCTTATACAAAAATTACCTGACTCAAGGAAATGAAGTTTCTTTCACTTTGTTAATCAAGATGGAAGCTAATGAAGATAATTTTATGAGAAAATGTAACCAGAGATGAGTCTCAGGTTTACTAATATGATCCAGAGATCAAGTTCCAATCGAAACAGTGGTTTTCCCAAGGACTTGGTGGGCCTGTTACATTCAAGGCAGAGGTCAGCTCAGGATGTGGCAGCCTGCTCATTCCAAGAGGGCAGCATGCACTCTCTTACAAGAATTTCAATGGATAACCTTACTCCAACTTTCCCCCATCTTTCCCCTTCAGAGTTTTTGTTCCCCAAACTCAGTATCGAAAAGGAACAAGATTTGTGTTTTTTAAGGATGCCCAAACTGTCATTCTTACATAAATCAAAGAGCACAAATGGGGGTGGGGTGGGGGAGAAGGGTTAGTGATAAAAGCAATGCCTTCAGTAGCACATAGACCTAGATGAAGGAAAAAACTATTGTGGAGAAACAATAACTTCACACTTTTATGTTTTGGTTTAATAAATGTTTCTATGATATTATGGAAATACATATCTAATAGTTTTATTGGCATGTAATTCACATATCATTCAATTTAATCATAAGAAGAGATGTGTAATCATCACCACAATTGATTTCAGAACCTACTATTCCCGTACTCATTGTTAACTCCTCATGTCCACCCAACCTCCCTGCCAGGCCCCTAGGTAATTATTAATCCAATGACTGTAACTATAGATTTACCTAACCTGGATTTCTCATACAGAAATCCATACAAAACAAACAGGCAGCAAACAAAAAAACCCACAAGAACAAAAGAAGAAAACTTTAATCAAAAAGAAAGCAGAAAATCCTAAAACTGAAATAACTTTGAAATGGGTCAAAGGGTTGATCAATGATGTTAGTACATTTTGACCTAACTACATCTGCCACTATCAGCTTTACCATGCTCTCTGATAATAAGGCGATGCACATCCCTGGACTATGGCCAGAGGGAAGGGGATTTACAAATGGATTTTGGGCTTCCACTGTCATCCATAACCTTCTGCAAATTGGATGTTCAGAATTTAAACTCCTTCAAATTTGGATTTTATTATTTACAATCCTTGAATCACCCAGGCTTTTATGCTTGTTAGATGTGAAATGAGTTGACACCTCACTTAGATGGCTGCTGTTTGAAGATAATCCTTTACGACCCCAGACACTAGCCTTTCTGAGAACCAGGCACCATCTGGTTTCTTCACCACACTTTGTCACAATACTTTTTGACTTAACCTTGTATGCACATAAAAAATTTTTTTAAAGACCTCACATTTCAAAATATCTCAAATTTGAGAGTGCTAGAGGCAAAATGTTTTTATTTTTAGAGGAACGGAGGGAAGCATAGAAACCATTCTGTCTGGGAAGAGAAAATGAATAAATCAAATGAAATCCCGGTGCTAATCCGATCAGATAACATTAGGTGTCATGGTGGGAAAAGAGCCGTGTATTATATGTGCTACCCTAGGGCCTGGGGCCAAAGCTTTCATTAAATCAAGGGCACAACAATTATACCACTTAATATGAAAAAAAATGTGATCTTTGCACTTAAAATATTAAATAAATAACTTCTAAGCTATTTCTTTTTTTGACTCTTAAATCAGAGTTCATATTCACTAAGCAAATCCTTTTGCATACAAAACGGATTAAAAAATGACCTATTTAAGGCTATGCAATGAAAGGACAGCTTACAGAAATATATAAGGAACAGTATGTGTGTCTATACAGTCTTAAGGCCCTACAGAATAATTCAGTTTGTTTGTCTACTAAGACATAGTTCATGAGTCATCCTTGGGAGCAGTAAAATATAGTTCATGTGACTAAAAGTAGGTAGGATAGTCAATAATAAATCTACTTTCTTGATATTCTGTGTCATCATTATGTACTGATTACTGGGAGAAGTGTCAGGTTGTGCGTCTCTTCCTTCCCTGCACAGAAAAGCTGGAAGAAAACCATGCACTGCCAAGAGATAATGTGATGCGGCACATGACCTGCATCACGCTGAAGAAAGCAGCACTGGATTTAAATGCCTGGGCCCTAGAGTTCAACTATTTGAAGAGATAGGGCAGTAGCTCGTTATCTTTTCCATGTGAGCACTCTAAAATGATTTACTGTATATACTCTTGTATAAGCTGAGTTTTTCAACACATTTTTAATGCAGTTTTTGTGGTAAAATTAGGTGCCTCGGCTGATACTCGGTTTGGCTTACGCTCGAGTATATATGGTATTGTTCTCAGAGTAGCGTTACTCAACCTGTGGGTCGCGACCCCTTGGGGGTCAAATGACCCTTTCCATAACAGTAACAAAATTATAGTTATGAAGTAGCAACGAAAATAGTTTTATGGTTGGGGGGTCACAACATGAGGGACTGTATTAAAGAGTCATGGCATTAGGAAAGTTGAAAACCACTGCCCTAGAGTAAATGACGCTACTTAATCCCCACCTCCTTTTATTAAACTGAAAACAGCAATTTGATAAAGGCATCAGAAAAGAACAGTGTCTTTCACACTCGCTAAGATTCTGACTCTAGAATAAGCTTCGGCAAGTTGTCTGTAATTTTTAAAAGAAGACATTTCCGGTTTCCCTTTGAGCTTTCAAACCATGTCCATACAGGTTTGCAGAATGGAGCTTCAAGAGAGGATGGGGAGACTTTATTCATATCACCCTCATAGATCATTCCCATTAAATGAGAGCATTTTAGTGAAGGTGAGCACAGTTTTGATGTTTCAGGACACTGGAAATACGCTAAAATTTTGTATAAGATTGAAAACTAATCATATACATTTCAGAAAAATGGCCAACAGATCCGGTTTTCAACATTTCCTATTTTTTTGTTTTGTTTCTGTTTGTTCATATTGGAGCTTATCTGACGTATGTGGTCACTTGGGGTGACTCTCTTTAAATTCTGTTCTATGATTTTTAGAATATGAAACCCAAGATCGATGAACCCATAGAGACTGCAAGTAGAATAAGGGGTTCTTGGCAGCACTGGGGACACTAAAGAGAGCTGATGTCAAGGAGTTCAAGAAGGAATATTTTACAACTGATTGTGGTAGCAATTGTACAATACTGCTTGATGTGACTAAACTATGGAACGGTATGATTACCTGTGTAAGCTCCCAATAAAATGGTTTGAAATTTTAAAAAAGTTAAGTGAAATGAGAATCAAACAAACAAATGAAAACAAGGGCCAAGAATAGTAGATACTTGAATAATAACTAATGCTTTATAAATGCAGGCCATACCACCACAGACATGAAGTAGAAAATCAAGAACAGGCTAACACACAGAAGGTTGGTAGCAGGATGAAGAAATTCCACTTTAGAAAATGCTGGTAGATTATGCTTGGTGGTCTTCCATAGCATGAAAACATTTGGGAATACATATTGAGAGAGGAGCAACATCATGCTTAATGAAGAGATCCATCTTACAGACCCATCGGTAGTCATGCCTCACTGCAGGCAGCTGGGTACTCACCAGGGGGATCGGGAACCAGGGCAAATGATGCCTACTTCAGTCAAGCTTGCAGTGCTGCCCTGTGTAAAGCAAGCAGACACAGGAAAGAGCAATCAATATTCAGGACTTCAGAGTTCTCAAAAGTGGAAAGAGCCCTTTACATTTCAAAATCAGAATCTATAATTAAAAAATACACCAGAAAAAAACACATCAATACTTTACTAAGCTGATGACCAAAGTTTTAAATACTGCTATATCCAATCTACAGGGGATATATGCCTAAACTAGTAATCTATGACTAAGCCTCTTAGTCTGTCAAAACAATTAAGTAATAATTGAACAGCAAGGTTATCTAAAATATTCTAGAAGCATGAATTGTCTTTTTAAGAATAATACTATGATGTCCATAGATGAACATTAATTTAAAAAAAGGACTTTCAAAGATTAGTGCTGATTAAAAAGGATTTACAATGAAAATGAGTCTGCATCCTGTCATTTATCAACATCGTTAGGTCATGTGAACATTAACACATGCAAAATTGAGAATGAGCACATCAGATCATAAAATAATGACTACATCATTATATATCTGATTGATATGACAATTAAATGATGGGGTAGGAGATCAGGTGTGCAGGCATTTCCCCCCCTGAGGGTGATCAGTTGCCAGGCTGCACTAGCCCTACTCCCTGCTGCTAGAGACAATGGGTTACCTCTCTCTGAAGCTTGGGACCATCAGCTTGGTTCCTGTAAGAGGGGTTTGCACCCTACTGTTAATGGTTCCTATAGAGACCCAGAGACCACCCCCTAGACCACCCTCTCATTGCTGTGTAACCTATAGTGCAGCTCCTCCCTGTGACATATGTCTCTACCTGTAATTAGTGGGCTGGCATGCCCCCAAAAGTTATATAGGCGGGCGAGTCAGCAATATAGGGGGTCCTGGGACTCTCTCTGACTCTGAGCTCCTTGCTGCTCACTCCCTGGTCACTCCCCTCTCCCTAGTTCTCTTACCCTCCTTCCCTTCCCCCTCTCTCCACGTGAACCACCAAGCTGGGCTGAGGTGAGCAATGGTACCATGTAACATGTCTGACTGTATTATTGTATTATCTCTTATGCTCTCAATGACTTTAATATAATGTTTATATATCTCAACCGTACAATTGTGCATTACTGAACCCAGAAGTAGTATTACTGAACCAGTGAGTTCAAGCAGCGGGTGGGGCTGGCCCCGCACTCCCCAGCGCCAATTTTTTAATTTAATACTACAACATGACCGCCAAATCACATCATTAAATAACCACTAAGATACATCATTACATAACTGCCAAACCATCAGGAATCATGACTCAGCTGACACACAACCTTAACCACCACAGCATTACTCTCACCTCTCATGTCTTGCTTCGCACCCTCAGCAGTTGTTACCGCCAGGCAGGTGGCTAATGTGAAAAACAGTCCAATACTAGAATATTTCCTATTGCTGTAAGTGTAAAATAATATTTCAGGTACTCAGGGAGTCAACAAAGGAGGACAAGGTGCACTTACAAAAAGCCGAACATTTGGCTGCTAACAAAAAGGGGAGCTGGAAGCACCCTCTCCCCCACCCAGTGCTTCCAGAACACAGAAGGCCTGGAGAACTCCTTCTGGAACGTTTACAGCCAGGAAAACCCATGGAGAACAAGTTGGAACTAGTTTGATCGCATCCAACAATTGCAAAGTCATTATTTCAGATCTATGTTTTCTTATTATCTTTGTTAATAAATCATTTATGTAGATGCGGGAATTGCATTGTAGGATCAACCAGCCTTTGGGGTGCACTTGGCTCACCAACCTTCGGGGGAGCAGAGTGAAATAACTAGCTGCCCTACCCAGGGACTCCTTGCCAGTGCAATGAGGGTGGAGAAGAGCTCGAATGCAGATCTGAATGACACAAGCAGGAGGAAGCCCAGTCGCAGTTCAGAAGAAAGCGGAGGCTGTGAACTTTGAAACTCTTGGAAGATGAGGTCAGTAGTTGTGCATGGAGCAATCTACAGCAGAGTCTCGTAGGAAGACCCCAGTTACAATGGCACACTGCAATCTAAGACCGAACCCATGTTTTAAAGGTGCAAACCTGGAACTAGATGGACTAATGTGAAAAGGCACTCGGGTCCTAGGATTACTTTAAAAAAATTATGTAATGCAGTAATAAACCCAGAATGATTTCAATGGGTTAAAACAAACACCACTAAATTAGATAGCACACCTAGATGTGGGGAGAGAAAAACTCTGGAGAGGAGTTATCTGTGGGACCCAGAATTGAAAGGAGAGGAAAAGGGGCCTTTGGACTTTGTGCCATGTCATAATGTAACGCCTTACCATGAAATTATTTTTATCACTCAAATTGAAGGGATAAAACTCAAACTCACCCCCAACTGTATAGACGGAATTGTCCTATTTCATATACACTTCAGTTGGAAATAACTAAGTCCTGGTGGCAGTAGAGGTTCCGTGTTAGGCTGCTAACCACAAGGTCAGCAGTTCGAAGTCACCAGCCTCTCTACAGAAGAAGGATTAGGCTTTCTACTTCTATAGATAGTAGCACTCTCAGAAACGCAAAGAGGCTGTTTCACCCTGTCCCACAGGGTCCCTATCAGTGGGAATGACTCAATGGGAGTGAGTGAATGAGCATGGGAGACATATTTATCATATGAAATTTCACTATTTTAGTGACTATCTATGATTCAAGTTCTAGGTATAGATTGCATCATCAAATTTAATTCATGTAAAACTAAAAATATATACACTGTACGTATTTGTAATATTTGTTAAAAGAGGAAACTGAGAAGTGAGACGAATAATCAAGAAGCACTCAAGGCTGGCATTCAAACCCAGGAATCATGACCGATGATTAGCTCCTGTGTTACTACCTCTTCCACAGCATTTGGCTTATATTTACACTGATGTATTAATATGAGACAGTAAATTTCACCAGGACAGGATTACATATGCATTGAAAACCATTATATACATCTCTGGGCCCTAACATAGTGTACACCATAAAGTAAATACTTCAGTAAATGTTTGTGGAATGGATGATTAATTAGCTAATTAATTAATGGGACCACCTAGAGGTAGAATTTAAACTACATGATTGTTTTGGGTCTCTTGGGCCTATAAAACATGCCGAGTTCCCCAAAAATGCTCACTGATTAATGATCACACCATGCCCCGCATTTTGAGAAACCACTTGCTGTCTAAGTCTTTTGTAACCAAAGATTAAAAAGAAAAAAAAAGGGGGGCCACGTGGTTTTGCTTCCCTTCTGTCATCCCCTAGTGGCCATCCAGCACCCAAGTCTGCCCTGAACCACAGACTTATAATTACATGCCTGGCTACAGAAGCACTGGGACATGTGAATGTTAACATCCTTCATGGCAAAGAGGTGAGGCAGTACGGGCCGCAATCACCAGCTATTATTACCTATCATACATTGTAAGTAACATATTAAACTGAGTTGGTGGTGTGACTCAAAGCCTAAACATACCAACGTTTTCATTCTAATATTACTACACTGGTCTTGTTGTTAGGTACCATTGAGTTGATTCCAAATCACAGTGATTCTATGTACAATAGAACTAAATGCTGGCTGGTCTTGGGCAATCCTCACAATCAATCGTTGAGGGTGTGGATTACAGCAAACTGTGGATACCACTTCAGAACCCTTTTCCTGTTCATGTGGAACCTGAACCCGGACCAAGAGGCAGATGTGTGAACAGAACAAAGGGACACTTTGCACAGTTTAAGATCAGGAAAAGTGTCCTTTCACCAAACTTCTTGAATCTGTATGCTGAGCAAATAATCTCAGAAGCTGGACTGTACGAAGACGTGTGTGGCATTAGGACTGGGTGAAGGCTAATTAACAACCTGCAACATGCAGATGACACAACCTTGATGCCTAAACGTGAGGAGGACTTGACGC